AAAATTTTTTATTTTAGTTAATTAAATTTAATTAATGAATTAATATTTGAAAACACTGTCTGAACATCAAGTGTAACCACTGCAAGTGAAAAAAATATGTTTGAAGCCAAGAAAAAATTCGTTAGAAAAACTTACTGGCGCCATCTGTTGGTGCTAGTTTTAACTTAGACAGAAATAACGCAGAATACAATTAAATTATAAAATAAAATTTAATTAATGAATTAGTATTTAAAAATCTTATCAATATCAAGTGTCATCCACTACAAGCTTAAAATGTATTGAACTTCAGTGGAGGATTAAAAGTATTTTAATAACGGTTGAAAATTTGGACAAGATTATATAAATCGGGAGAGGATGAAACTAATAGTAGGAATTAAATAAGGGATTTATAAACTAGTGATCCAAGGACCAGTAAAATAAATCCGCTGAGAATCGATACTTTAAATTAAAATTTATGTTATGATCATCTCATTTCGACTTTTAGATCTAATATTTTTTTCTGAGAATTTTCGCGTCTTATTTATCAGAGGAACCTAAGTTAAAAACCAAATATTTAAGAAATCAGCTCAATTAGTTATTCTTTCAAATGTGTTATTTTAGCATTAACTTAAGAATCATATCACTCTTTTAATGAAATTTTACTTCAAACACTTTAACCTAAATCCACACTTTGAGTTAGGAAAGGTTCAAATATAATGAAAAAAAAAAATGTAAACATTATACGAAACAATTGTTTTTCAATTATAAGTTCAAAATTGTTTTTCAATTATAATTTATACTATTCAGAAAATTTCGTAACTAAATTATTAAAGTGAATGTTATCCGAGAAGAATTTTAAGCATACAAATATTTATTAAAAGAAAAAAAAAAGATTAATAAATAAGTATGTAGGAATTTATATTTTCCAGCAGTTTGTCTTTTGATTTTATTACTGTTTAAGATACATAAGAACATCATGTGCTATTTATTTTCCGCATAACTTAATATTGTCTTAATGGTTTACTTTTTGAAAATGACTTTAAAACTTCTTTCATTTTTCTTAAATATGTTTGAATGTGTGTGTGTGTGAATAGAATCTACATAATATAATAAAGTACTCCCTAAGAATTTTTATAAACTGAAAGCTGAGGAAATAGTTTAAATCTTTATTTTCTATTATTAAGTTCACATAAATTGATACTCTGGAAAATATACTATCAGTTCATTAGTAAAACAAATAAAAATTTTATATAAGAAATTAAGAAGTCTAACTAGGTAATTAAGTTTATAGAATTAAATGGTAAGCTTCATTTGAAATAATTCGAGAAATAGTTTGAAATATATTTTTTCGTTTTATTGATTCCCTCTTGCAATTTTATTGATTTAAATTTTAAAGAAATAGTCCTCCCAAAATATAAGGAAACATTTTCTGCAACAAGCAAAACAATTTTGATAAATGTGTAATTTTATTTCTTCTAATGTTTCAATACATCTCCTTTTTTTTTTTACTTTTGCTACTTCTTTTTAAAAAAAATATGATTCATATGAAAAGATAAAAACATTAACTATTATTGGCCATATATTTTTTTCCAACTACCCAGTATCACAGCGAATTTAAGGTATCCGAATACTTGCGACAACAACTTTTTTAAAAAAAAAAGGGATATGGGGATTTTTTTGTGGTTTTCAGATCTGTTAAGTACATTTTAAGAAAAATCTGCTAAAACTAAGAAGAGAAAAGTAGATTATTACTACTAAAATGGGTTAAAATTTACAAAAAATAACATAAGCGGAGCCCATTCTGTACCAAACGTTTATAAACAGATTTTCAATCTTTCATTTCTGATGTGTTGCTATGTTTTTCATTTTTTAAATGACCTTCTGGATAAGAAATGTATTAATTTTTACAAAAACTAGAGCACTTTATCTTAGTTATTGTATGAAATTGCTTAAAAAACAATAATTATATTCACATAAAGGACTGTCACTTTTGTAATGAAACAGTTATTGATAAATCTGAAGGTTAAAAAATTTCTATTATTATATAGAAAATACACAAAAAAATTTAGTTAATTATTTTCAAACCCTTTTGAGCAATCGCTGTCCCCGTTTGAGTATTTTAAAAAAAGAAAACCACATTTCGAGTAAAACGCGTTTTAAAGAAAGACATCTTGCTTAAAGTAATGCCATCTCCTTTTACTAAAACATTTGTAGTTTTTGTTCAAGAGAACGGAAAATAATAAACTTGGTATTTTTATAAAGCTAATAAGATGACTTATAAAATCAAATCATAGAAGTTTGTTAATTTTTGTCAAAATTTACAAATTTAGGGTAGTCGGGTAGCTTAAGAAAGTGAGTAATGTTGAATTAATAAAGAATATTTAATGCCCAATTGAATACATATGAAACACACGCATTCAAATATACTCTTTTAATCATATATCTCATTAAGATATAAAAAGAGTACCAAATATGTTTAAACTCTCTTATTAGCAAATTTCCATACCCCTCAAAAATTTCTTCATTTCCGCTTTTATTAAAATTAAGTTCAATTATTTTTCTAAACGATACATTTATTTGATTATTCAAATGTAACTCTATCTTTTTACCATCTAGGTTACTCTAAGATACTCTATGAGTTAATCATAGTCTGATTGTTCTTCATGATAAGCAAGTCCATGTTTGAAGCAATTATTAAAGCCTTCTATATACAAACTAACTAAAATTAAATCTAAATATTATAATTTGAAAATACATAAGCTTGACTATACTTTTTTAATAATGTATAATTTTTGAACAAAAATGGGTACGAAATGAAATATGTGTGATAAAAGACATGCATGAGAAAAGTAAAACAAATACTTTTGGCATGCGTAATGTTTAAACAAAAACATATTTTGCATATCCATTAAATAATTTATTCAATAACTTATCCGTAATTTGTTATTTTGATTACATAATTCAAAGAATGATCGCGAAACTTCAGCGATCACAACTGGAAAAATCATTTTTTTTTCTTCAAAAAGCAATGCTTTAATTCGAAGGGATCTCTTTCCCATGTATTCAGACATATCAATTTTGAAAAGTTAAGAAAAGAATTGGTTTCGCATCAAAATAATGCGTGCACAAATTTGTCGTCACCCTTTTCTAGTTCTTTATAAGGCAGTTTATGAGTTATTCTCCAGCAATTTACATTCACAATGCCTTCGAATTAAAGGGAATTCAGATGTATTTTGAGAATTTGTTTATTTGTGGAGGGAAATATGTATTGAAACAGCAATGGATCGTTTATTTTGATTACATGAATCTATTACTTTTTTATACGAGTACTAAGCAGTAAATTATGAAAACAATTTGAATCTGAATTATTTTTATTAATATGGTGTTGATCCACAATGAGGTAATTATAATTATGGAAAGTAACAATTCTACGTAGAGCATATATTATGGATAATTAACTTATACATCTAAAACAAAATCTCCTATTTACCATTTAACTTTTATTTTCTATAACATCTTCGAGTTTAAAATTAAACAGCTAATTATTTCTCAAAAAAGATATTCCAAACATAACAATTTTAACCCCAGCTCATTAAATTTTATAGTCTTCGTATGTATGTTTCCACGCTTTATTTTCCAATCGAAAACGTAATCTAAACAAGTAATATATTTAAAAAAATTAAGTCAATTCCTACTTAGGACAACAAAGAAAATTTTAATTTAGTTACTTTTTATAATAACAATTTTAAATACTTATAATTTATTTTAATATGTATATACATATGACAGAATCACAATATTAAGTAGCAAAACAGAAAGCGATTTTGCTTGCAATTTTCCTTTTTTTTCTATATAGGGTGTTGGATTATTATTATTGTTTGTTACGATTTATTCATTAATTAAATTTAACTATTCCAATAAAAGAATATAGTAAAAATAAATCACATTCTCAGTAATTAGGCCATCCCAGGTGGGATTAGGACCCATGATCAGTGGATTAGAAGTCCAACGCGCTATCCATTGCGCTACTGGGACAAAACGAGCGGCTTTCCTTTTTATACATGGTGTTGGACTATTAATTTTGTTTGTTACTATTTATTCATTATTTAAATATAACTAATGAATTTGTATTTGAAAAAACTGTATTTAAATCAAGTGTCATCCACTATAAGTTTTAAAAAATGTATTTTAACTTGAGTGGATGAATAAAAAGTATTTTATTAACGATTGAAAATTTAAACTAGATGTATAAATATATGTATATATAGGGGGAGTATGAACTAATAGTAGGAATTGAAAAATGTTATTTAGCATTTATGGAAATAAATATGCAGCCCAATTAATATTTTCGGGTCTCACTTGGCGTTCGTATCTCTCAGGGAAAAGATGTGTAGATCACTGGATGAATAAACTCTGTTTTTTACAAAAAGTTCTCGATACTGACTTGAAATATCACATACATCTCTATCAAATTTAACATTATTTTATACCATTCGTTCTGTAAAATATCTCTCAACTCTACTAATGATGATTTTGGAAGGCGTATCGTTTCTTTATACTTGTCTCTCATGATGTTCCCATAAAGATCCAATAGTATTAAGGTCTGGAACCTGAGAGCCTTAAGTAACTATTTCCTTTCATCTTCATTTTCATTAATCGAATTCGTCACGAACTTTACTGTTTGGATAGAATTACTATGTCTGAAGATAGGGACACTGAACAAAGAAAATTCTCGTCACTATTGAATGAACATGATATTGGATTACGTTTCAGTAGGTTTTGGCTGTTACCCAACCCTTCAGAATGAGTGTTGATCCTACAGAATGCAACGAAATACACGCAATATCTCACAATATCAACGATATACCTCCGTAATTTACAGTTGGAATCAAGCAATCAGAATGAAATGCTCGTTGGTCATCGGGAAACTAGAATATGGAATCGGAATCCTACTCGAGAATTCATATTTCGTTTCGCCAAATATGAATTCTCAAGTAGGGAAACATATTGAGGGACAATATGAGAGACCAAACTATATTATTCCGATCTCTAAAGCTATAATTGTGTCACTCGCTGCACCACTCTCAGAGATTTTTTTGCTTTGATTTCGTAATGAGGAATCCTTGCTTTGCAGCATGGCTTTAAAAAGCTAATCTGTGAAGTGCGAGAAACAGCTCAGCTTGAAATGTGATCTAGTGGATCGATGTTTAAAGCTTCTATTATTTGCATATCTGTTGATTTACGATTTGAGAGAATAATTTGTGACATTTCTCACCGATTCCTGTCTGACAACTACTTTTACCATCCATATTTTTCTAGTTAAGAAGTAATATATTAGTCTTTTTGATTTCTTGCGTAGACGCATTTCCTTTAACACACTTATAATTTCGGCTGTTATAGATACTGAAGCCCCTGCTAAGCGAGAACCAATAACTATGTCTTTCTACAAATCTCTGAGGTATGACATTTTAATGTAAAATTAGCAGTGTTATTTTTAGATATTGATCTTATTTAGCTGCAGTAAGGATAAATTGTCTTATGATTTAATGCATGAAAAGTTACCCTTATTAAAATATGTATAAACTGTATATCCGACTAGATTAAAAATGTAAGATAAGTTACAATTTCAGATTTTCCAAAAATGATAAGTAGTAAATACAAAATAAAAGAAAAACATTTAAAAGATGTTTCTCTTCTTCTTTTTAAAAGACTTTCCAACTTGTCTTCATGTTAATTTAGTTCAGAAGATGCATTTATTCACACAAATTATTTTGTTCTTTTCCATGTGAAGATTCATACACAGATTTGTGTTTTAATCTAGAAAGTGTTTCAGTGAGAAACGAAATTGAACATCAACGTCATCACTTGTACTTTTTTAAAAACTACGAAATCTATATAATCATTCGGGAACTCGTGATAAGTAGAAAGTGAGGCGAATAAGTATGAGCTAAGTTCGTGTGACGTCATAGTCACATGATAACTATAAACATGTGTTTCTAGCCAATGAGTTTATCAGGTGGAATCTATATAAGCCAGTAACTGCCTCCGGACTGAAGGGATCATTTTGGTTCAGTGTTAAGTTATGTGCTGACGGAACGGATGGTACCGAGAACGAATCTCCTTCATTGGTGACCCTGGCTGAACTTAGAAAAAAAAGCAACCTTCACGCAGCAGTCTAGGCGCCATTTATCCACCGCAAATGCAGCCAAGCCCTCACACTCAAATGACGCAACCAACAAGCCGTCACAACCAAATGACGCAATCAACAAGCCATCAGAACCAAATGACGCAAAAACTCACACGCTCGCCATGACGATATCGTTCATTCGAATACCGACTCACTGGTAGTGGTGTGTGTGGTGGTGGTATCTATATAAGCCAGTAACTGCCTCCGGACTGAAGTGATCCTTTTGGTTCAGTGGTAAGTGATGTGCTTACGGAACGGAAGGGACCGAGAACGAATCCCCTTCAAGTTTTGCCGTTGCAAACTTTTGCTTTTTATAGATTCTTTTAAATAGCATAAATTTGTAGACAAAAATTATGCACATATGTAAATAAAATGCACTTGTTTAAAAACACACGCATAGTAAAAGCATTTTTTTAAATTTTGAAAATTTAGAAGAATATCTTAATATTTGAACATCTTTATCCAATTATCAAATTTCACAAGAAGAACAACATATACAATTCTAATGTAATTTTTGAATTCAATGGAGAACACGTGATTGCATTTATCACGTGACCGTCATGAATTTAACCTATTGGGTATCTTAGCATCTAACACAGGACTCGGCAACCTATGCCAACTATACAAAAATTTCAATTTTTGAGTGAATGGAAGTTGACAAATTTATAATGCTCCCTTATCCGACAAACATCTTCAGAATTGCGGACATTTACGGAATTACGAAAAAATCTGAAAGATAACTCTAAAGATAAATTTACAGCTATTTTGTAAATTATTGAATGCCATTGCTGAAAATATTTAATTGTTTGAAGAGAAAAAATTCCATGTACTCTGCTTTCCGCAGTAGGCTCTACATATCAAAGTAAAGTTCTTGTCTAATATAAAAAATATGTCGAGTCCGCAAAGAAATTGTTTAACAACTGAATGCTCAGAATCGTGTCAAATTGAATGTCTCACATTATGCCTCTGATTTTGCGATATGAAAGAAGCGCATTAAAATTTTTATTTATCTTTTTATTTAACTATAACGAAAAGAAATACTTATATTTAATGTTGTCTGTTTCCTTTTTTAATAAATATGTGTAAAATACATAACATATATACAATTTTGATTTTTTCAAAAATTTTGTTGAAGAAATAGTTATATTTTATCCTGTTTGTTTTTATGTTAAGAAATATCTTTAAATGATACAAAATTAATATATAATAAAATTATAAATCTATATTATTTATTCTCTATTTTGTAATTCTGCATGCATTATCGCGGGAATCGATATGTTTAAAAAATGTCCCCCTGTGTGTCACGCTGAAGGAAATTGATAGATTGGCTTAGCACACCACATCTAAAAGGTTGCCAATCCCTAATCTAACACATTGCACAATGACGCCATAAACTTGATTAAAAATACTTGTATCCCAGACCAAACCGACGTTTATTTGAAAACAAGGGGGGGGGGCAAGAGTGCAAAGACAGAACACAATGGGGTATTCAAGATTGGAATAAATACCTTTTAGCAATGAATCGAGTTTTTTAAGTGTTTCCCACGATATCCATGTTTAAGGTAGCAAGCAAGAAGCCTTTACTACCAATTTATTGAAATACTCATCTGTCCTTACTTAGCAGTATATGAAGTGCTGAATGGGCTTAGGAAAGCAATGTATTTAGGCATAAGAAATGAAATGAGCTCTTCATTATCACAAGGTACACTCACCACAAGTCAAAAGTCTTCTTTGCTTGGTTTAAAAACAATTTAATTCAATTATTTACATGTCGACCAATCAGACGGATTCCTACCCCATGGAGAATATAGGGAGCTTAATAAGGAAACGCTTCCAGAGTTTGGGTGCAAAGGACGATAAAACAAACATGCCGAAAGCGTAAAATTCGGCAAAAATAACTGTCAACAATTAATGTATAATAAACCAGATTGTAAATGTTATATTACTAAATACAAGGGGGATGCCACTAAATATTAACCACCGTATTTACTCGAATCTAAGCCGCATTTTTTCCCTCAATGTTTACCCTACTAAAAATCGGTTACGGCTGAGCATCGAAAGGAAAAAAATATTCGTTGATGGGGCATTTGGAGGTTCATGTATGTATTTTAAAGTTTATAATACTGGCAAAATAACTAGTTATTCCCTTCTTATTAGTTCTCATTTTAAATTTATTTTATTTTCGTTAAATTGAATATCGATTTAGAGCATTTTACACTACTTTTCATTTTTTACAAAAACTTGTTGAGAATTTAGGATGTGGCTTAGATTCGAATAAATACGGTATTTATAATGTTCCTCGTTCAGATGAATTATATTATTTTTTGCATACCATTCCAATTTTTCAAGCTGTTACAAAATTATAGTAATGCTTTTATCGCTTTAGAGAAAATTCATTACAAAAACTATGAAGTACCATGAAATTGTAATGTATTTAGTATTATTAAAAATGTAACGATTTGCAATATCTAATTTTTATTGTTATTTTTGTTACTATTATGTTCACATCTTATTGTATTTTTATGGTGTAGATATATTTCATTATTATTTTAATGTTATACTCATCTATAAAATATGTAGAATATCTAAACTTCAGTACTACAATATGAAATTCTGAAGCATTCATTTCTATCTAAATAAATGCAAATTTCGAACCATTTTGTGTTTTTTATCCCTCATTCTAATATTTAAAAATAGAATTGTATTAGTATTAATTAACGCGTATAATATTTATATTAATGTATTAAATTACGTGCTTCTTAATGCACACACATAACGTTATTTCCTAAGATTTACTCCCACACCACCCATTTCGCGTTGTAGATTGAAGCCACGCTGAAAGGCTTTT